TGACGCATCCCAGACATGGCGGATGGTGCAGCCATGTTGAGGTTTCTCCCCTTGGGCGTTCAGCAAGGCCAAAAGGGAGGCATGTGTTAGAGCCTCAGAGTCCGAGCGAGGTGGCCCAGCGGTGGGTCCCGAGCCTCTCCTCCGAGGTTACGACGCATCCCAGACATGGCGGATGGTGCAGCCATGTTGAGGCTTCTCCCCTTGGGCGTTCAGCAACGCCAAAAGGGAGGCATGTGCTAGAGCCTCGGAGTCCCAGCGGTGGGTCCCGAGCCTCTCCTCTGAGGTTACGACGCATCCCAGACATGGCGGATGGTGCAGCCATGTTGAGGCTTCTCTCCTTGGGCATTCAGCAAGGCCAAAAGGAAGGCATGTGCAAGAGCCTCGGAGTCCAAGCGAGGTGGCCCAGCGGTGGGTCCCGAGCCTCTCCTCCGAGGTTACGACGTAGTATGATGATTTAACCAACGCATTTTATTGAGCCATAGAAATATTACAAAGGCTGGGAAAGTCTTCCAGCATGATACAATTCACTGATAAAAGATCCTGAGGTGTTCAATGTTCCATGGACGGGGTTGTGCCTTGCCGTCCATGTCTTCAATCCAGTAGGTTCCAGGTCGGATTTCTTCTCTGATCTTGTATGGACCTTCCCAGTTCGGTCCTAGGGAGCCAGAATCGGGTTCTTTTGAAGATGGAAAGACCCTCCTGAGCACAAGATCGTTGATTCGGAAAGACCTCTTCTTGACCTTGGAGTTGAAGTACCTTGTCATCTTCCTTTGGTAGGTGCCTAGCCTCAGTTGGGAGTCGTCCCTCTTCTCCTCAATGAAATCGAGGTCTAGCCTCCGGAGCTCGTCGTTGGTCACTTCACTAAAGTGTAGACGCCGTGGAGATGGGAGTCCGACCTCCACGGGGCTCATCGCCTCAGTCCCAAAAGCCATGAGGAAAGGGGTCTCCCCGATTGGGGTCCTGGTGGTGGTTCGGATTGCCCAAAGTACTTGGGGCAGCTCATCAGCCCAAGCTCCCTTGGACACATCAAGCCTCCTTTTCAGGATGTGTTTGATTGTCTTGTTTACGGCTTCAACCTGGCCATTGGCTTGTGGGTGGTGAGGTGTAGAGAAGTGCTTCTTTATGCCAAGATCTTCACACAGTTCTCTAACCTTCTTGTTATCGAATTGCCTGCCATTGTCTGAGACG